AAATTAAAAATGCAACTAGTGTTTTGAGACAATCTGCATCAATTTGGTGGGAGTCTTTAAGTTTTTCAGATAAACCTCACACGTGAAATGATATGAAAGATCTTATGAGAGAAAATTTTGTTAATCCATCTCTTGTAATTAATTCAAATGATAAGGTGCACCAATTAGATCAATCTCTTGTTATTCCTCCTGCTATGTCTAACCTTTTGCAGGACAATGTACAAAAGAGCGAGGATGACGTGATAGAAATGAGATGCTCACAGCCTCATGTGAAAATTCAGAACCATCAACTATTACTCTTGCTGAACATGAGAGCAAAGATAATGCCCATGATGCTAAATTCACGAAAGGTGAGAGTTCTCTTGAAGTGCTGAATTTTTTCACCAATCATGCTATAATAGAGCAAATTTTAGTGGAGTCTTCGCTTGATTTACCTTTGTCACAAGATGATTTGCTTGATGTTCCTGAAGATGACTTGCATGATGATATTTATGTTATACCCATGCAATCATTGAAGAATGATCATGCTATATGTGTGCTGAAATCGAACACTTGTGCTGAAAATAGACTTGTTATTCATAATGCTAGTGAAGTTGATGAGCTGAAATTGTTGTATTCTTTAAATACTTTGGGTTACATTGAATTTAATGTTCCGTGTAATCTTAGTTCTTTAGAGGAGAAACTTTATGCATATGCTGATTTGCCATGGTTCTCTAGACATACATATTATGTTTTTGGCAAATATAACAACCAAAGACAATATTTAATACAACGAGTTTATATTTGTACAAAATCTGAATTCTTCTTTTGTTGTGCAAAGTAATGATCAATTAGAGGACAGTAAAATCAACACTGTTGTTATGCCATATTCCTCTAGTTTTGCTTTTCGAACACAAGTGGAATTCAAAGAAAGGGAGCATATGTTTCTTGTTAGTACTAATCTTTTGCAGGATAGTATTGGCAAAGATCGTGTGTATTTCAATCGAGCAGACTACATGTCTGTAGGACAAGACATGCTACAAACCTAGACATGTGGTCATATTCTTTCTCACAACATTGTCCATTCCTATTATTTTAGAAACCTCGTTTGTCCTCATGTTGTGCAGGATCGACTTCAAGCAAAATCGACGCCGAGGACGGCTTTTCATCAAGAAAGGGAGGATGATAAGGATATGAGCTCCATGCATACAACCATGCTTGGAGATAGAGGACGAGGAGATCAGCGAGGGTGTCCTAACCGAGAAGGAGGCCCGAACCTCATCCGGTTTGAGTCACCAAGATGGAAGCCCAAATCAAGTTCGAGCCCATCTCCGGTTCAAGGACCAATCTATCATAAAACTGGTCACACGGGCGCGTCCGGGCTCTGTTTTTGACAATCCACGTATGGATGAAAGCTAATTAGATAAGGAAGCCAATGCAAGTGGTTTCATGTCAAAAACCCTTCGTAATCAACGGGAATCGTCGAAACAAATCAGCGTCCAGAATCTGCTGGGGTGCTGCGACACCGTCTTTTGGTCCGTTGGGCCGTGTATCGTCTTAGAGCCCATTAGGGGGCGCGTCCAGGGGGTGACGTCCGGGGCTCTATAATTAGCAGCCGTCGCTCTCCTTAGGGTTTGGATTTTGTTTAGTTCTTGATTTCCTCGTGAAACAGACGTCGTTTTGCTGCAACTGTGTCGTCAAGGCTGCTTGCTGTGAACCAGGGCCCCTGTTCTTGATCTTGTTCGCCTGTGGCGATTAGTCCTTTCGAATAAAGACTTAAACTCCATCTTGTTATCATAAGCCTCATATTTATTTGTAATTTCAGACTGCGTTCATCCCGTTCTTACTTGTGTTCTTGATTTGCTTGTAGAAAAGCCTTCTCGACGAGGTCAATTGCGTTCGCGTGGTTGATAACCAACGGAACAGTGGTATAACGGTTGCGAGGATCCAAATCAGTCTTGGTTCGAAGCCTAGATCGTAAACGTCGAGTCCCCACCGATCGACGCTATCATAACTATTGAAAAATCGGGCCTTGCCTACGTCACAAGAAACGCTGACAAATTTCAGACAATAGAAGTCGAGACAGCAAGGGTCAATCAGACAATAGAAGTCCAGAGACAAGGGTCGCGTCATTGCTACAGTGTTCCTGTCGGCGCCAATTCGGCGGAACTAAACGAGGCCCTAGTTGCAAGAAGGGCACACTCGACCAATTCACATCGGCAAATGAGAGCCTGCATTTTTTTTGCAACAAGGGTCAAATCAGCCGGCAAATGTTCAGTGAATACTACCACTGTATTACAGTTTGCTACCAATTCACATGGGCAAATGCGAGAAACAGTTTGCATTCACAGTTTGCAATGGCTGGCACGGTCAGTATCACACATTCACACTTCGCATTACAGCTTGGATTCAATCCCAGAAATCAACAGTATCTCACTATCTCTGTATCAAGACAAGAATCAACGGGGCGGGCGCCCAACGAGTTCGTAAGCATAGTGCTGGACGAGCGTCTCAGCTCCTCTATCAACCAAGAACGTACGGAGCTCATCCCACTGTTGCTGAGTGAGGTCTTCAGCAGGGTCCACCAGCATATTGCTGGGCTTCTCCAGGCTACGCCATTCATCGAGTGCAGCTTGAGCCTCCTGTCCCGTACCCACCACCCTGCAGATCAGTCCAGGTTTTCCCGATAGTGATAGAGTCATTCACCGTCTTGATTGCTGCCGCAACCAAGAGGAGACGTTTTCACCGATAGTGATAGAGTCATTCACCGTCTTGATTGCGTTCGCTGCGCTGACCAGAGCGCTGGTGTGAGAGACGCTGAGTGCGCCAGGGCTCCTCCAACGAGCTGCACCGCGCCGTTGGAGGGCAGTTTGTCGGCGTACTTCCTTCGGAGGGAAGCCTTTTGAAGACGCCCCGCGCTCAGCGCAATCACGAAGTTCGGCCACTTCTGTTTTCCGTCCTGCACTGCGCTGTTCACGGTCTCCAGTACGCGCCTCATGGCCGCTATGCGGATCCGGACAGTAGTTTGCTACGCTGGCGATCGCCAGTACTTGAAATGCAAGCAGAGCCCCAGCGGCAAGCGCCGGAACCCGATGACCTCTTGGGTGTACCTTGCAGAGGCACACGACAGAATCCTGGCACGCACAGCTCTCAACGTCGCCCAACAACTGCACCCTCCAGGATGCGTAGCACCATCCCCGCCGGCTTGTCACCGGCGACGATGGCGTCGGACATCGCTAAGTATTGGAGAACGAGACTCCGACAACATACCATCGGCGGGACAGCGCACGGTGTGCGAAGACCATCCCGGTCAAGCAATTCTGTACCGGGGGTCGATTATGCATTTAACGGATCCAACGGTCCGAACTCCTCGCAGCGGATGATACAGGAACTCGTTGACGCAGACAAGATCATGTCGCCGTGGAAGACCTCGTCGGAGCAGAGGCTGACGCGGCGCGAGTGGGGATTCCAGCGCAGGTTCTCCTCGGACGAGGCACCATAAGCCGATCATAGTTCCGTCGGGCACATCGTAGAAGACGACGTAGATGATCTTGTCTCTTCGCTGGAGTCGACCGAGGCGTCATGCTTGCTTCCTCCTCGGTCTCTCCTCGAACGCCGCCGCCCTCGAGGGATTGGGAGGATCGGGAAACTGGACGAAGCGCGACGCGATCGCCCACGGATGGAAGAGCAGTAGACCGTGGTTCATGTCGACGAGAGACGAGCAGGCCGTCGCTGTGGACGCCGCGGTCGTGCGAGACCATGGAGTTTGCGTGGAAGTCTCTCCAGCGGTCGTCGCCGGCCACCTCGGGGCGCGGCCTGACGGTCCACTTGCTGTCGTCGCTGGAGAAGCAGAGCGCGACCGCGACGACCGGTAGGTGGAGGATGGCGCGCTCTGCACCTGGGCGACGTGGATGAAATAGGCGTCGCCGGTGTTCGCCCGTGGTCCGCGATGATGCCCGTGGGAAGAGGGCCTGAATCGGGGGAGATGAAGGATTTGATCGTGTGAAAAGGCCGAGGGGCACATCCACTCCGGGAACGCGAATGGGCAGAGAACGAAGTGCCACGGTGATGTTTGCCCCGACAAGATGAACATGGCCTTTATTATTAATCGGAATGAAAAATTTCCGAAGCGCCGCCGCTGCTGCTGGGGACGGGGCGGCGAAGCACGAAAGCAGGGGTCAAATTTCGAACATCATTCAAATGTAGTGGAGAGGTGGCGAGAGGAATGATCTGCTTGTGCGCTGGCGATGCGTGGCATCTCGAGCACCCGCGGATTTTGGAAGAGAAAGGTTGAAGAACGGAGTTGGGAAAGTTACCGTGAGTGAGGAGGAATGTGGCGCCGGTGGCGAGGAGGAGGTGTCCCGACGCGTCGGCGCCCTCGACGCGGCACGACGCCGTGTCCCAGGCGGCAGCGGCGGGGAGCAGAGCGCGGTCGATGAAGGCGGTGGAGACGGCCGCCGGCGGCGCCGCTAGAATTGCGGGCGAGCTCGAGCAGGACGTTGCGTGGTTGCCACCACCCAATGCAGTCTGACAGCTTTTCAAACAAGCCATCCTCGTACTTGGAGGGTCATGCGACCCTTCGGATTCACCCTGCGAGCTGGCAATCAAACACCGGCCCAGCTTTCGACCAGCATGGCAGACGGGCGCCACTCTCGAAGGCCAGGTTTAGTCTGGCGATGGCAAATTGGCAACCCTACAGGCTTGCCCTGCGGACGCGCCCGAATTGCAGAGGGTAGAGTGGCTAGGCTGGGCAGGACTGCATGCCTCTGAACCTATCGGCGGTGGGTGGATGACCAGCCTAACATGGTGGGGCACAGTAGTTGAAGGAAGAAGAAGGAACCTACCACCAAGAATTGTATAGGCCAACGGCCCATTGTCGTGCGGCCTTTGGTAAACTATAAGTGGATTGCGGGGTCGGCGCGTGGCATGCTGCCACCCCGTCGGCGCAGTTAGCTGAGTGCGCGAAACCGCTCGGGAGTGCGACGCGGGCGCGACGCGGGCATGCTGAAGACTCGGCGCTCTTAGCCGTTGGAGACGTTGACTTTTTGCACCGCGCCGGGCAGTTTGTCGGCGTACTTCCTTCCCTTTTGTACCGCGCTCAGCGCAATCATTCCCACCTGTTTTCCGTCCTGCACTGCGCTGTTCACGGTCTCCATCCAGCTCCTCTTGGGTGTACCTTGCAGAGGGCACACGACAGAATCCTGGCACGCACAGCTCAACGTCGCCCAACAACTGCACCCTCCGTACCCCGCCGGCGTCACCTCCACACAGAACGAGGACAACGTACCATCGGCGGGACAGCGCACGGCGAAGACCATCCCGGTCATGACGACGTAGATGATCTTGCCTTCGCTGGAGTCGACCGAGGCGTCAGCTTCCTCCTCGGTCTCTCCTCCGCCGCCGCCCTCGGGAGGATCGGGAAACTGGACGAAGCGCGACGCGATCGCCCACGGATGGAAGAGCAGTAGACCGTGGTTCATGTCGACGAAGACGAGCAGGCCGTCGCTGTGGACGCCGCGGTCGTGCGAGACCATGGAGTTTGCGTGGAAGTCTCTCCAGCGGTCGTCGCCGGCCACCTCCCTGACGGTCCACTTGCTGTCGTCGCTGGAGAAGCAGAGCGCGACCGCGACGACCGGTGTGGAGGATGGCGCGCTCTGCACCTGGGCGACGAAATAGGCGTCGCCGGTGTTCGCCCCGTGGTCCGCGATGATGCCCGTGGGAGCGGCCGGGGAGATGGAGAGGCCGAGCACATCCTCCGGGAACGCGGGCAGGAAGTGCCACTTGCCCTTGGCCTTGCCGGCGCCGCCGCTGCTGCTGGGGACGGGGCGGCACACGAGCAGGTTCGACTCCCCGGGCGCCCGCGGCGAGGGGAAGGCGAGGAGGAGGTGTCCCGACGCGTCGGCGCCCTCGACGCGGCACGACGCCGTGTCCCAGGCGGCAGCGGCGGGGAGCAGAGCGCGGTCGATGAAGGCGGTGGAGACGGCCGGCGGCGGCACGAGCTCGAGCAGGACGTTGCACCACCACCCAATGCAGTCTACCAAACAAGCCATCCTCGCCCGGGTCATGCGACCCAATTCACCCTGCGAGCTGGCAATCAAACACCGGCCCAGTTCGACCAGCATGGCAACCCCACTCGGCCAGGTTTAGTCTGGCATGGCAAATTGGCAACCCTACAGGCTTGCCCTGCACGCGCCCATGCTGGCTAGGCTGGGCCTGCATCTACCTCCCAGCCAGCCTAACGGTGGCACGGGCTACCAAACACATGCAACGGCCCATTGTCGTGCGGTGGTAAAAATAATTTTGGGGGGTCGGCGCGTGGCATGCTGCCACCCCGTCGGCGCATTATAGCACGCCCGCGACCGAATTTTTTACTTTTTAGTCTTTTTTTTTAATGAAAGTTTATCATAAATATACCCCTGAGGAAAGATTTCAGAATCTGGACCCTTAACTCGGCGCCATCGCTAACACGTCTCGGCGCCAGCGTCCCTGGCGCCGACCTCCTGGGCTCGTAGCGGACGTGTAAGGTGACATGGCGGCAGGAAGCTGGCGCCAAGCTTGGCGCCGAGCTCGGCGCCAGGATGACTGGCGTTGAGCCTTTAATACGTATGGGCTCCGCTCGCGCCCTAGCAGTAGCAGAAGCAGAAGCCGAGCCACTGGCCGCCGCCGCGCGCAGACACGCCCACGCGCCCCGCCGCCGCGCCAGAGCGCAGCGCCTCGACGACGCGACGCTGCTGCGCTCGCGCGCCGCTGCCACCAGCGCCGCGCGCGCCGCCGCGCGCGAGAGCCGCCAGCGCGCCACCACGGATGCCCTGCGCCCGAGAGCCACCGAAGCGCCATCGCGCGCCGCGACGACGCAGCGCCGCGCCATCGGACGGCCCGTGCCCCAAGCCGTAAGCAAGCGCCGCGCCGCGCCGCTGCGCGCCGTTGCGTTACCCGGGGTTGCCGCCGCGCGCCTGCCCCTCGTTCGGCGCGCGCGCAGCGCTCCTCTCCTTGGCCTCGCTTCGCCTTGCCACCCTCCACCACCGGCGGCCTCGGCCGCCGCCGTTGGACTTCGCCACGTGGAGCGCCGGGCATCTCGCGCGCCGCCGCACATCCTGCATTGCTTGTCCGGGCGCCACCGCGCCTGCCTCGCACTCAACAGGCTGGCCGGTGCACCGCCGCCCGGATCATCGGCCCGACCCACGCCCGTCGTCCGCTGCGATTCCGTCGACGTCCGCGGATCAGTCGTTGGAAAGGTAAAAATTATGAATATGCAATGTACCTACTTAGTTGGCATTTGTTATTTACTAGTTAATGCGATGACTCAGGTAGTTGATTTAGTTAGTGATCTAGTGAGATATATATGTAGATAGATAGAAACATAGATACATAGGTACATAAATATAGTTAGATAGCTACTTAGATGTGGAGATTGCACCTATGGTTCCCGATGCTCAATCTGCCCCCAATGCGGTAGTTGGAGATGCTTGTCAGACTCATGTTTTCATGGCAGATCCTCCTCATGAGATCCCTTTGACACAGAACCATCCGAGTAAGTGTCTTAACTGCATGGATTTTGGGAGCTTACCCCTTCCTTACATCTATTTCTTTCATTCTTTCCTTATTTCTCAACTTATGTTGCAGGAGACATTCCTAAGAATGTGGATGTGCCCCCTGTTGCTGCGCAAGTGCACTTTAGAGATGGATTTTGTGGCTCAAATAGTGTTGAAATTATGCATGATTCGGAGCCATATGAGATGGCTAGGGCTCTTGATTCTGATGATGATCGCCCTGTTGGAGAGCTGACAGAGAGTGATGTTGAGATGCTGAGACGTATCTTTCCCGGCCGCCGTGATCCAAGAGTTCACGAGTTCAGCGATCTTGCTCATTCCGATCAGGCGTTTGCAAAAGGACATGATGATGAGCTCCTAAAAGCTCCTGAGGCCGGTCCTAACATGGTAATTCAGAATGGGAGGGTGTTCAATGACGTCCCTGCATTGAAGAGGTGGTTGCAGGCTTTTGTAGTGATACGAAAGAGACCTTACAAGGTATTGCATTCATATGCGGAGCGTCGTTACACAGTTGTGTGTGACAAGGAACGCTGCCCATGGAGGGTTTGTGCAAGAAAGCAACAGGTCACCGGAAAATGGAAGATCACAAAAGTTATCGGGCCACACAATTGTGCCGACCATGAGCTGACACTGAGGCATCGGTAGTTGACATCTACCCTCATTGCCAAGTGGTTGATGGGAATTTTACAGGGAGAACCCAACATGAAGGTGAGGACAATTATCAAGACCGTTGAGGTGTTGTATGGAGGTTATGTGATAACTTATGGTAAAGCATGGAGGCTAAGTAGCGAGCGTGGAAGATGATATATGGGGACTGAGAGGATGGGTATGAGCAGCTGCCAGTTCTTTTCAATGCAATCAAAGCGGTGAATCCAGGCATACATTATGAGTACATCCCAAAACCAAATGCATGGAAGGATGGGAGGCGGATATTCTTCCGTGCTTTCTGGTGCTTCCCTCAGTGTGTCGAGGCCTTTAGGCACTATCGTCACATCTTCTCCATTGATGGTACATTCTTGATTGGCAAATATCAGGGTACACTTCTTATAGCCATATCCTGTGACACGAACAACAAGTTGGTTCCTTTGGCATTTGCTTTGGTTGAGAAGGAGAACAATGACAGTTGGGGATGGTTCTTGAGGCTAGTCCAAATACACGTGGTTGGGCCTGGCAGGGAGGTTGGCGTCATATCTGATAGGCACCAGGGCATACTTAATGCCGTGCAAGAGCAGATAGAGGAGTATGCACCTTTGCACCATCGTTGGTGTACTTGGCACCTTGCCGAGATTCTACTCCAGAAGGATGGTGTGAAGGGTAACTTTAATATGTTCCAGGAGGCTGCTCGACAGCTTGAGGACAAGTACTTTCAGAAAAAGTTGGAGCAGGTCAGAACCGCATCAAATGCAGAAGGTAAACAATGGCTCACAGGTTTGATGAGGGATTTGAAGAAATGGACGAGAGCTCACGACGCCGGTGGATGGAGGTACGAGTTTCAGTGCAGCAACATGGCGGAGTCATTCAATAAGTTGCTATTGGGGACACCTAGAGAAGGCAAAAGAAAGGGCTAGCACACCTAGAGAAGGCAAAAGAAAGGGCTGGCACATATGAGGTTACATGCTTTGACAACGCCATAGGAACTTATCAGGTCGATCATAGGGGCGGTACAACGTCTGATGGTGAGGTCCGAGAGTCAAGGATGCATGTGGTTGTCCTCCAAGATTTCAAATGCACTTGTGGTAAACCAAGGCAGTACCACTTTCTATGTTCTCATTTGGTGGCAGCAGCTAGGCATCGCAACTATAATATCGAGAGGCGGATACCTCATGAGTTCAGTGTCGACATGCTTGTGCACACATGGAGCCCCCGCTTCGTGCCTTTACGGGACCCTGGAGAGTGGCCTCCATATGATGGGCCGAAGTACATTGTGGATCCAGCTTACCATTGGAACAAGCGTGGATCAAGGCAGAGGATGAGGCACAGGGTGGTTATGGTTCAGATACCCAGAAGAACGAGGCATGCGAGGGCAACTCCATTTGTTACTGACCCCGAGCAGTACGAGTGCGGCAAGTGCGGTAGACTTGGCCACAATTCACGAAGTTGTCATTGGCTGATTAGTGAGGTGCGACTATTGGTTGATTTTATTATTTTATATTTGTCGTATTCATTTAATTAATTATGCATGTCTCAATTTATGTTTGTATTTGTGTCAATTACTTATACATTTCTAAGTTCATGTTTCATTGTATATTGAATTTCTAACTCATTCACTTTTTTTGTAGGATGGCGCAATTCCACCTGCTCGACCCGACGTACGAGGCGACCCACCGATGACGTCTCATAGCGCTGGGGCAGGTAATAATCTACAAGTTTTGTTAAAAATTTGGTGAGCGTACATGTGTTCGTGAAGTAACAGGAGACTATGTTTTATTTGATGCAGGACCTTCCGCTCCTTCGTCCTAGAACCCACAGTGGGTTCTTGGACATGCGGTATGACGACAGGTACACTCCTTTCCTACAAAGAGCTGGCCTGGATGTCATCTCTTTTCAGGTTCGTCGTGGGTTGCCCAAGTTCAACTCAGCGGCCATAACTGCGTTGGTTGACAGGTATTAAATTAAATCATTGCCTCTATTCATGGCCATTTGTTCATGCGATTGACTTTTTCACAAGTAATCTTGCTTTGTCTAAAATATAGGTGGCGGCCGGAGACTCATAGCTTCCACCTACCTTTCGGGGAGATGACAATCATGCTCTAGGACTGTTAGAAGATGCTAAGCCTAAGGATTCACGGCAACCTAGTCATCGGGCAGTGCAGGTCAGAGGGTTGGAGAGCACGAGTGGAGGCCTTCCTTGGGCGTGAGATTGGCGAGCAAGGGGCTCGCACTTCTAGAGTTCTCATCTCCTGGCTACGGGAAGAGTTCGCACAGTGCCCAAGGAGGCAGATGAGTAGATAGTTGGGTACTACTGCAGGGCATGGATCCTACACCTGTTTGCCTACGTTCTCTTCCCCGACGCCATGGGTGACAGTGCGTCCTGGATGTGGGTCCACTGCCTCAGTGACTGGAACCAGGCGGGTCACTACAGTTGGGGCTCTGCAGTCTTGTGTTTTCTATACCGGCAGCTGTGCGAGGGGTGTCGTCGGTCTTTGTCCAACGCGTCACTTGGTGGATGCGTGTACCTGTTACAGCTGTGGATGTGGGCTTCCCTCCCAATTGGCCATCCAGAGGTTCTGGCTCATCATGAGTGGTTCCAAGGTCAGCCTCCAAGTCGGCAGTCGACGTGGGCGTACCTTTGGGACCAGGTCAGGGTTCCATACATGAGGTTAGATCGGGCGTACATTGAGTTCACGAATGAGCTAGACACATTGACGGCGTCTAGTGTAAGTAAATTTTATTTCCCATGCTGGTTTGAAAAGGATTAGTATACCATCTAACATCTTGTTTGGACATGTTGCAGGTGGAGTGGGAGACGTATGGTGGAGAGGGCGCACTTCCTTTTCAGT